CCAAGGTGCTCATACAATGCAGTCCGGTCAATCTTCTGGTTGTGGAAAGCCCACAAGCAGCACGTCACAAGAACGCACACCAGCACACGGCGCCCACAAGCAGCCGCCCGGGCAAGGCCAGGCCGAAGCTCCCTCCTCCGCGCGCCCCTTAACGACGGCGGCACGGAACAGCAGCGAGGTGACGCCGCAGACGGTGAAGTAGGAGGCGACGAGCGTGGCTGCGGTGCCGGTGCGGCCCTGGAGCAGCCGCTTGCTCCTGGCCAGGGCCGCGAGCCCGCAGAGCGGCTCGAGCACGGAGATGACGCTGGCGAGGTGCCACAGCGCGGAGATGTAGACGTGGATCCCGGAGGAAGACGAAGACAACGGCGATGAGGCATAGGAGAAAGGAGAGGGGGGAGCGGTGCGGACTCGGACGCGTCCTTGGGGATGAAGACGTTGATGAGCCTGAAGACGGTGAGCCTGAAGACGAGGTGGGAGCCGCCCATGAGGAGGGGGCGACCCATGCGAAAGTGTCGAGGAGTTCAGGCAGGATGAGGGGCAGCGCGGTGAGCGAGGAGGAGATGGACGCGGGCTTGTTGGTGTAGAGCGAGGCGACGGTGAAGACGGCGGCGGCGGTGGAGAGGATGGAGAAGGTGCAGAGGACCATGAGGTAGAGGAACTGGTAGGCGAAGAGCCTGAGCCACTGCGAGTCCGAGTAGGTGACGCCCTGGATGCGCAGCAGGAAGGCCGTGGGGTCAGTGAAGAGGGTGTGCGCGAGCACGGCGAAGGCGAGCGGGAAGACGAGGCAGGCGGTGAGCAGCGCGAAGGAGCGAGGAGCCGCGCGCGGGATCGACGCTGAGACGCGGACCAGCTCCGCCGCGCCCATCGCCGCGAGGTCGCTCGACGCCAGCTCCATCGCCGCTTGATTTGGGGGTGACGGGGTGTGCCTGTTGGGTGGGGATCCGGCGTGGAATGGCCGTGGCGGACCGCGTGTCGAGTGAGTGAGTGCGACCAGCCGGCGGGCGCGCAAGCAGCGGTGATATATAGCCACAGATCAGGACCGGGCTTAGTGCGTGCGTCAGTCACGCGGGATTTTCGTCGCTATGCGATGCGTTATCCATGTGGCCCGGTGAGAAGCGGAGAACTGGTGTTTGCGTGACAAGGATAGGGCAATGCTGCCAGCTGGGGATGTGGAGCAAGCTAGGTCGATCATGCGATGATCGATCAAGACGCGAGCGAGTTGATCATATGGTGTGAACACAACAGATGGACCACGTGCGTTTTTTTAAAACAAAGACAAGAAGTTAAAACGAAAGAATTTATGTATTGGAGACTAACCATGTTTTTTTCATAATAAGGATAGGGCAATACGCTCTGCACATGCATGTGTACTAAGACCCTCCACAGTGTGGAGTGATGCCTAAAAAATAATTGAGCCCCACAGAGAAGATTTTAGCTTCACTCTTTAAATGCCGCAGCGTGTGAGGCGCTGCAGTATCGCTAGAGGCCCACTTGATACATGTTAAAATAGTAGAGTTGGTGTATGTCTCTCTCGTCCTTGCTAAGTGATAGTTGGAACATGTTGCGTAGAAAATATTTTTAATGAAGATATAGCACCGGCGCAAGTAGATGTATCGCTTCTAGTTTTTCAAGCGCAGGCATCGATAGCGCACTGCAGTGGTTCGAGTGATGCCTCAGCTCTCTCTTTTCTTTTTGTTTCAGGCATCACTTTAGCTTCACCCTGCGGATGGCCTAAGCTAGCTAGCGAACAATTGTGCGATGCATGGTGGTAAAATGACCACCTTGTTCCGCATGTATATATGCCGCGTGAGTAGCAAAAAAAATGATCAGATCATCTATAAGGATCCATCGACCTCGCACCAGAGCTAGCTTGTTGAATCATCCAAGCTCCACCTCTGGATCGATCATGTAATAATCATCGTGACTGGTTACTTTATATTGGAGTATGCGACCTTTTCCCATATTATCAGTTACGCTCATCCTCCATATATATCTTCTTGATTTCGTAGCGAACATGCCTCGACACATGCATGTTTCATTAAGAGGAAGCTTACTATATTTTTTTCTTGATAAAATTACAAACCTACATATACGTCTGATGTTTCTGAGCATTGCACGTTGAGAATTGAGATGCATTAAAGTGCAAGGAGCTGATACAGCACAGCAGGCACCTATGCATACAACGCGTCATTTGGTAAAGATATATAGAATGAGACGTACCGTGTGAATATATACGGTCCACAACTTAGGGTCTCTTTGGCATGGCTTATGTCGGCTTCGGCTTCATCTATTTTGCATAAATCGAGACACTGTAGCGTGAAGCCGTTTTGTAAGCCGAAGTTAAAATGAACTAGAAGCCGGGAAAAACCAGTTTTTCTAGCTTCACCGGCTTTGACTTCACTGGTGAATCCGTTTTGGATGAGCCATGCCAAAGGGAGCTTTAATTACATAGCCAGCTAGCTAGCTAGCTACTTTATTTATGTTGTCATCGTTCTGGTCGATCAGTGACGTGCAACGAATATACATCATGTTCGCTTTGAAGCTAGTCTGTGCAACTGATGCCGTGATGGGAAAAAAAAATCGGTGAGGATCATCCCTACCGGGACACGTAGTGGGCCAGTGAGGTCTGTGCAACTAAAATGCATGTGGGCCACAATATCATTTTAAACATACGCATGGTGATTTAGTTATTTCATGAGCCACGTGTCAGCCATACATCTGCACAGTGTTGTGGTAGGGATAATCCTCACCGAATTTTTTTTTCCGCCGTGATCGCCGCCCGGATTCACCGCAAGGCCCAGTATTCATATGATCGATCAATCGAGATCGACAACGCAAAATAAAAGCGTCGTCGCTGGCTCGCCGCGTCGGGAAACGGAACGGCGGGCTGGTGAACAACAGATTTCTCATAGTGTACGTATACATAAAACACTTTTCGAAAGAAATTGTGAGAATAGAAATATGGAATCCTAGAAAGCACGAAGCTTCATGGAAACTCATCCACCACCGGCTGGCCAACCCTGTTTCGGTAAAACGTATACCTTGGGATGAGCCAAACTTCACCACCACATCCTATCCTATCTTACCAAATGCGTGCAATGTACGTACAGTCACAATATTCACGGCAACGTCATATACAGACACTGACCGGCCAGAATGATGACAACAGACAACAGAAGCTAGCAGCTGGCTGTGGGGCTAGGTATATCACGGCACACGTCACATCCCATATATCTTACCAAATGACGCCTTGTTTATGCATAGGTTTTCCTGCTGTCTCCTTACGCTTTAGTGCGTCTCTCAATTCTCAACGTACAAAATATGTACGTATCAAGAACATATATCAAGCTTGCTTCTTCTTAGTGAAACAAGTGCCGCGGCACATTCTCGAGAAAAAAAAATCAAGGATACACATATATCAAGGATGGATGGATGAACGTAACTGATCATATGGTAAAAGGTCGCATACACATACTTCCACACTAAAGGCTCCTCACTGGTGTAGATGTTCGCTTGAGCTACTTTTCAGCCATGGAATAATATTTTTCTCTCACAATATTTTAGCATAAGCATCAGCATAAGCCAAATTTCAGCATAAGCGAATAGGGCTGAGCCAGGCAGCTGGCACATGGCAGAGGGCGTACAATCATCGTATCTTGCGTTGCATTGTTCACTAGCTAGTACATGTATGGGCAGAGTGCATTGCACCTATATATCGTTGTCAAAAACGGGACTCTTGTCAGCTAAGACCTGGTTTTTAGAAGCACAAGTATTAGACTCAATCCACGTGTATTAGAGTGGATTAGAAGAAAGTTAAAATAAATTGTATCCAGTCTATTTCAACGACACATATAGATTAAGGTGTATATACAAGTGCATCGAAACAAGGTCTAAGTGGTGTTCAGCCTATTCACACCATGACTTGATCGCATGCCGGCCGTGGCCGCATCGTCTTGATCCACATGACCTTAGCTAGCTCGTTCCCCTTCAATTCAGAGATTTCCAAACAAATAAAAGCGCACCTGCACTTACACATAGTTTGGTTGATTGTACGACCGTGGTGTTTCATCTTGCCTTTTTCTTTGCTTAAGTTGGACCTATATATGTATATACATTGATATCACCGGGATTTAATTTACCTCTGTTCAATTAATAGTTGGGAGCTAATGCATGATGGCCCCACTCTCACTACTAAAAAAATCAATTCCTAGAGAGTTGTCTTAATAAGTTAAACAGTTTTAAGTTTGATGGAGTGAAATGATTTATGATACCAAATTAGTATCATTAGATGCACCATAAAATATACTTTAATAATTAATGTGCTCATTTGTTTTCACAAATATTTATGCTCTTTTTAATGAATTTGACCAAATTTATGACTTAAGATATCTATAGGAATTGATTTATTTAGAAATAGAGAGAGTATACACGAAGTGGAGCGATGTACATAAAACATGCCTCCATCTTCATATCTATATATTTTTCCCTGATATCATTGCAAGGATATTTCTAGGATATGAGCTTGAAAATGCGCGTCACTAGGAACACATGCATGCATGCATGTCAGTGTACAGTGCACAACAGTAAAATAAATCACCAACATTATGTCGAATGAAGCTGGATATAAAGCATATAGTAATACTATAACTGATGATCATATACAGAGGAAAAAGGTCCAATAATACACACATCAAATTAAAGACTGCATACATCGGAGTACTAGCAGCTTAATTATTCATCGTCAATACTAATGTATCTCAATCAGACCATAATTAATCCCCCAGCTAATTAAGTGATCTATCCGATTAATTAACACTACACTACTAGATCCACACACAAGCACTCGATCAGTAATAATCAGCATCAGATAACTCTTATTCGATCGATCCTTAGAATTATATATACTCTCATGCATGCATTTCTCCACATATGAGCTGAGCCGATCCATGGCATCGACATGGACACACATCACATGGAGCTATATACGTAGGTGCTACTCCTCAGTCCTCACCTCCCGGTCCCAGGAGGAGCACGATGGTCATGACGACGTCGCCGACGGCGAGTATGAAGATGGCGATGGTGCAGGAGATCCTGTAGAAAAGGTACCCTGGATCTGCGGAGAGGATGAGGCGGACGCCGGTGGCGTACATGCAGTGCCCGAGGATGGCGGCCACCAGCGCGACGAACGCTAGGCCGTGGCGGATCCGGCGGGATGGGAGCAGCAGCGCCAGCACCGCCGCGGCCGACTGGACCACCGCGCAGCAGAGGATCCCGTCCCAGAGGGCGGCCTTTTCGGCGGCCACCGCGTCCGTCAGGTCGACGCACCGCAGAACAATGGAGGACTGCACGAGCACGAGCAGAAATTAACACCGACGACACGAAAAGGGCAAAGACGCTGAACACTGTACAGTCGGCTGCTTAATTACCGGGGTGCAGTGGACGTGGAAGTAGTAGAGTATGTAGACGACGAGTGCGGGGGCGAAGGCGATGCCGAAGGCGGTGAGGAGCGCCCATTCGCTGACCAGCTCGACAGCTGCCGAGACCGGACGGTGAGCGGCCACCGTGTCATTCTTCGCCACGGTCACAGGCAACTTGCCGTCGTCTTCCATGGGTCCGGGGATCAGTCGATCGGATCAGAAACTATACGTAGCAAGCTCTGTTGCAAAAGAAACGATGATCGATCCATGCATCTTAATTAGTTTCAAGAAGATTAAACAAGACGGAATATTTCAGCGCAAAATTAAAAGCACACACTAGCCTGCTAGTTAATTCCCAAATTAACTTTGATCGGTATGGAGGAGTATAGATCCGGTGAGAGACAGAGAAATCTCAAATTAGATTAAAGTTAGCAAAGATGGCCGGACGCCGTCGGAAGGGGGAAATTAAAGGATCGGAGTGGGCTCACCGGCCGTCGTCACTAACCCCAGCTGGTCGGATGGGAAGGAATGGGATCGGATCGATCGGTGGCGCTTCCTGCCACAGCGGGTATTTGCTTCTTCCTAGTCCTACAGTAGGTACTAGCTTGGTGTGCTATGCTTCGTTTGGACATGGACGGGTGAGAAGAGAAATTGCTCTTGCTGCTCATCAGCTCATGGTCATGGTGGAGCTGTTTAAGTAGCCGATCGTGCCTGCGACGCATCATGATCATGAGAGCTAGAGAGAAGCAAAGCAAAGCCATAGATGCCGCGTGGGCCCACGCCTCAACTACCACACGACGTACGTGTCGACTCGAGAGCCTCATCATCAACAAGTACAGTGTTATTCCTTTTGTCATCATCCAGAAATTAATCAAAGAGCTAGCAGAGAGCCCCTGCTTGTGCGGTCAAATGTACGTACTAGTACAAGCGTGCATACCATCTCATTAATTCGCAATAAAAAAGGTACTAGCTCATTTTTAGGCCACTTAGTAAAAAAAATCTAAAATCGTCTCAACCGTGTTGCATGAACAAGTGTAGCGGAAATAATGATATGCAAATAATGCCGTAAAACAAAAATTCTGCTAAGTAGTCCAGCATTAATCCCGGCCCATGGACACCCACACTTCCGAGTTCTGACGATAAAAAACGTACGGATCATCATCAGCGGATAACACGTACGTACAATAATACATGCATCATGCAGCGTGCTGTGTGCACATATGATCGAGTGTGACTCAAATTAACCAAGACGAGATCAAAATCATATAATATATAGTCTACGTACTAATGTTTCTTCCGTATTAATTCCTTTTTTCGCGAACATGCCTTGCCATAGCCTACACACATAAGCACGTGGTAACGATATACGTTTTCAGTTTGGCAGCTCATCATCAGGCAGCTGATATGCTGGCGTACATGCCATTGCCGCCGCGTTCACATTCTGCTAGCGTGTGCTAGCTTTAGCTACATGCATGTGCGCTGTGCAGTAGTGAAGCTATATATATGGGCAGTGGGGTTACACAGCTGAGTTCGACTTGGACCCTTTAATTTGTCACCGGAATCTTCTGTCTGCACGCATTCTTGCAATCTTAATTGCCTGCTGGACTTAAGCGAGGTCTGATCGATCGAGCAAACTACACAGATATATGGAGCACAAGGATATCGGATATCGGAGTGACTAGCTAGTCCAGCAAGAGCGAGCACAGAACAGAGCCGAGCCCTGTGCAGTGATTCCCTTTTTCTTTTTCTTTTTTTGTTGGTCGACCCACAGGCCACAACGTGGATTGGAGACCGGCCGGTTCAGCTAGCGGTACATGTAAGGTACAAGCATGTATGCATGTCCCCCCCTCTCTCTCTACACATCAGAAACAGGCTACAAAACCAGCATATAATGTTCATCTTATTATTAACCAGGCCGGCCAGTCTTCGGTCTGTTTAATTTGTTGTCCGTTGAGAAAAAAAGGTGCTTCATGATCACATGACCTCATGTCTACTTTCATTCACGCACCACATATATAACTAGTAGTCTAGTACTAATAAGAACATTCACGCACCATATATAAATATAACTAGTGAATAAGCGACCGCGGAAACAGGGGGCGACGAGCGAGGCGGACCCTCTCCGACCAACTTCCGGCGAGGGGTGCCGATTTCCGGTCAAGCAAAGTAGGAGAGCAGATCCGGGGGACGGCGTGGCATCGATTGACTGATAAGTTTTCTCGATTGTCTGTGCTCTGTGCGTGTTCCCTGAGCTCGAAGGTGTTGGGGGTTCCTATGGCGTCGCCGCGGCATCGATTTTCTCCCTCTCTCCCAGGCTCTTCTCACCGAGTTCCCGGATCACCGTCGATGGAGATTGCTCTGCAGCGTCGTGATAGCTGGAGGGCAGCGCAGGGGCTAGTTGCGGGAGGTGGAGCAGGGGAGCAGGGTAGCATCTTGCCTATGGCGATGCGGAGGAATTCTTCAGGAGCGTTTCAGCACGAGTCCCAGGGAGGGATTCGAAGTAATGATGGTGAGGGTCACGCTCAGGATATGATTCCTGATGCCTCTCTTAGATGTGAGGGACATGGAGTTCCTCCATCTGATGATGTTCTGGAGAATGGAGCTTGGCCCTCGTTGCATCAGAGTATCTGGGTGGAGAAGAATAAGAGGCGCTTGACACTTGTTCCCGGTGCTCTTGATGTTCCGAACCAAGCTTCAACTGGGTATCAGCCATCCACTGTTGGGGGGATCAAACGGGCTAGAGAACAAGCGGCGGCTGATATCAAACGATACTTGTTCCATGTTGCATCGAATGAGTATCAACTGAGGGAATTGGTAGAATCTTATGATAATTTGGAGTTGTCCATGGAAAAAATGTTGTTCGTCAAATGTGGTAGTGCAATTAACTCAATGCAGACGCTGCCAGGGAAGACAGAGGAGCGGGGAGCTGCAGAGCGGGAGGTTGATGACAACTTTGGGGATGGGACCAGTGTTACTACCATTCTTGGACCCCTGGTGGGCCTGGGCCTGGTTGGTATTGGAACCCCAAAGGCCGCTTATCCTTGGACCTAGCGTATCTAGCCAGTAGATGGGACATACAACGTTTTGGTCATCTAGCTAGGAAAGTTAGGTCTATCCCACCTCCGTCGCCGCTTTCGTCATCCTTCGCTAAAGTTGTTCGATCGACGACGATGGCAAATCGAGAGCAACCAAGGCAAGTGATGAAGAGGTGACAGGAGGATTATATGGAGGAGGACGATCTCCTGGGAGGGGATCTGAGGCATGAGAAAGATTTGAGGCGTCAACTCCAGCGTGGTCCAAGAGCTCAGGGTGAAGGAGACCGTGGGGATTCAAAGGAAGAAGTACTGAGGGCTATGGCTTCAGAGGCGGATTCCAAGGAGAGAGGGAATTGGAGAGGGGCTAGGAATCTTCGTCCAACAGGCCTGAGGGGCAGAGATTTTAGAACCAGCAAGGGGGCTAGGTCTCGAGACAGCAAGGGGGCTAGAACTGGGGCAACAGAAACCAGGCTCAAGGCTCATGGAAGGAGTGTCGGTGTTTCGAGTAAGCACCGGCTAGTAAATTTGTATATTGCACGTCTGACCCGGATGATGTGCTAAGACGACCCAAGGATTATACTGGTTTGGGCCGAATGTCCCTACGTCCAGTTTCGAGCTGCTCGTATTACTAGCACTCAGTTTGTAGTAGGGGGTTACAAACTGGTGAGAGAGGGAGGTAGCTCCCAAGTCTCGGGTGTGATGCGGTATGTTTGTTCGATGAATCGCCGTCCCTTTAGTGGGACGCCCTGCTTTCCCTTTTATAGGCCAAGGGAAAGCAGGGGTTATAACCGAAAGAAAGAGGAAAAAAGGAAAGAGAAATAAGGCTCCCGGAGGTGTGCCGTTCTCCTCTTTGCGTGGGTTCCGCTGACTCTATAGATCGTCGTGGCAGTGACGTCGTACCGGGGTCCTGTTGGCGTCATGCGCCATTCTTGTCTTCCGTTCCATCTGAGCGGACGGAATGGTCAAAGGGTCCTCTGACAGAAGCCATGCAGGGGGCTAGCGGTACAGTGCCAGTCAACAGACACCGGTTGACTGGCGTTGGACGGTGGTCAGGTTGGGAGTTGGTAGCACAGTGCAGGCCTGTTGACGCGATGGGCGACATGAGATTCCCAGCATGGCCCGATGCGACAGCCAGTCGCATCAGGACACGTCTGAGATGTGCTCCTAGGCGTGCGCTTCCATGCTGTAGTGGTTGAAGTGGTTCAAGCCCTACCCTGGGACCACTGCTTTGGTCCGGTAGCAGATCCAATCCCCAAGGATTGGGCAAGGTGGAAATCTCTCCCTAGGAGCCGGATGAGACGGAATTCGACCCACGGGGGTCGAACGAGGCGGGGCCCTCCCCATGGGACCGGACGAGGCGTGTCCCGACCCCTGGGTGTCGGACGATGCGGAAACCTCGTCCTTGGCGTCGGACAAGGCGGGGCCCGGCCATTGGGGTTCGGACGAGGCGTGGCCTGACCCCTGAGGGTCGGATGAGGCGGAAACTTCACCCTCGGAGTTGGACGAGGCCGTAGTTGCATCTTTAACCATCGAATGAGGCGACATGACGCTCTTTAATCCTTTGGCTCGGATACCCGGGTATAGATATCCGACAAGGAGGCTCATCGAGGTGGTGATCAGTACTCTCATGGAGGTACGCATCCCAATCCTGCTAAAATCCGATGCTTTAGATGCTTGTATATGGGACATCATCAGGATAATTGTGACAATAATCCTGTCTGCTATAAGTGCAAGCAAGAGGGTCATATGGTAGTAGATTGCAAGGGCACAAACAACAAGAAGCTAAAGATGTTTGGTTTTAGAATCCCAGGGCAGGGCTTTTATGCACTTGATATCCCAGAGTCCACTGTGAAAGTGTATCAACCTACCGGGCTGATCACCATTCTAGAAGGGGATGCTTTAGAGGAAAAAGTGAACAAGGAATTAAAGAAATTAGGTTTTTAAGGTGAGACAGATGGATTCTCAAGAGTATCTTGTGGTGTTTCCTGATAAAAACTCTCTGGATACTTTTGCCAAGTTCTCTAGCTTTGAGATGTCTTTGTATAGCTTGAAGGGCAAGCTTGAGAAGTCAAACATAGATCCCCAATCTTCTTCGACGCTTCAAACAGTATGGATTCGAATTCATGAAGTTCCAAGTGTGGTGAGAGAGGTAGAGGC